AGGGCAGAAATGAGGGTCAACAAGAAACTGGCAGAGGATGCTAGCATGAGCACTGTTGCAAAACTGACGCTCAGGGGCAGAGCCAAGATGGCAGAGTAAAGGCAGGGACCCACCTGAGTTCTCCCCCAAACTCCTCCAAATACCTGTAAAAAATTACTCTAAACAAATTCTAGAGCAGCAGAACCCACAAAAAGACAGTGAAACAAAATTCCAACCCAAGACAACCTAGAAGATCAACAGGAAAAGTCTATTGCACCAGGCTGAGACAGGAGTGCAGTCTAACATAGGCCATGCCAGCGTAGACCAGGGCCCCAGCAAACCTGAAGCAGGGCTCAGGGACTGAATTCCTGGCAGCTGTGGCAGTTTCCAGACTTCTCAGCCCACAGATGCCAAAGACAACTTAGAAGGTCAGCAGGAAAGGCCTGTTGGACCTGGGTGAGAAAGGAGTACAGTCCAGCACAGGCCCAGAAGGAGATTATAGGGGTCTTTTTGCTAGTGCTGAGGCAGGACTCTGTTGCTTTGCCCATACTTGGATCTGGGTCAAAGTCCTGGGTAGCAGTCCTGGGACGAGGAGGGCCACTAACATAGCAGAGCTTGTGGCAGCAGTGGAGAGGGTACCCTTCTCACAGTTCTAGGGCAAAAAAGAATGCTTGTGGTTGCTCATAGACCAGAGCACAGGCCAGGAGAGGAGTAAACACCTATCCTTAGATCATACCACCTTGGAAGAACTGAAAACTTACAGGTCCCTAGAAGTATCTCTGAAAACAACTACACAAAACCCCTGAAGCTTAGGACAGTGTACCCTCCACCCTGGAAGCAGAGCCCTACCTTAACAAAGAGTTAAAAAGTCAAGTAATAGGCTGGAAAAATGAGCAAACAACAGGAAAAAAAATTCTAACTACAGAAACTTACTTTGGTGACAAGGAAGATCAAAACACACTCAGAATAAGACAACAAAGTCAAAGTTCCTACACCCAAAGTCTCCAAGAAAAATATGAATCGGTCTCAGGCCATGGAAGAGCTCAAAAAGGATTTTGAAAATCAAGTAAGAGAAGTAGAGGAAACACTGGCAAGAGAAATGAGAGTGATGCAAGAAAATCATGAAAAATGAGTCAAAAGCTTGCTAAAGGAGACCCCCCAAAAAAATACTGAAAAAAATAACACCTTAAAAAATAGACTAAGCCAAATGGCAAAAGAGGTCCAAAAAATGAATGAGGAGAAAAATGCCTTAAAAAGCAGAATTGGCCAGATTGAAAAGGAGGTCCAAAAACTCACTGAAGAAAATAATTTCTTAAAAATTAGAATGGAGCAAATAGAAACTAATTACTTTATAAGAAATCAAGAAATTATAAAACAAAACTAAAAGAATGAAAAAATAGAAGATAATGTGAAATGTGTTATTGGAAAAACAACTGACCTGGACAACAGATCCAGGAGAGAGAATTTAAAAATTATTAGACTACCTGAAAGCCATGATCAAAAAAAGAGCCTAGACATCATCTTTCAAGAAATTATCAAGGAAAACTGCCCTGATATTCTAGAACCAGAGGGTAAAATAGAAATTGAAAGAATCCACTGATCACTTCCTGAAAGAGATCCCAAAATGAAAACTCCCAGGCATATTATAGGCAAATTCCAGAGTTCCCATCATGGAGAAAATATTGCAAGTAGCCAGAAAGAAACAATTCAAGTATTATGGGAACATAATCAGGATAACACAGGATTTAGCAGCTTCTACATTAAGGGATCAGATGGCTTGGAATATGATATTCTGGAGGGCAAAGGAGCTAGGATTAAAACCAAGAATCGGCAAAACTGAATTGTTGAGGGGAAAAAATGGATATTTAATGAAACAGAGGACTTTCAAGTATTCTTGATGAAAAGACCAGATCTGAATAGAAAACTTGACTTTCAAATGCAAAACTCAAGAGAAGTATGAAAAGGTAAACAGGAGAGAGAAATTATAAGGGACTTACTTAAGTTAAACTGTTTACATTCCTACATGGAAAGATGATATTTGTAACTCATAAGATTTTTCTCATTATTGGGATAGTTAGGAGTGTATACAAAAGGGATGTGTGCATATATATATATATATACACATATACACACACACACACACATACATATATACATTATATATATGAAGGCATGATATCTAAAAAATAAAATTAAGGGGTGAGAGATGAATGTGCTGGGAGAAAGAGAAAGGGAGAGGTAGAATGGGGTAAATTATCTCACATAAAAGAGGCAAGAAAAAACTTTTACAGTGGAGGGGAAGAAGGGGGAGGGGAGAGAGAGTAAGTGAACCTTAATTTTCATCAGAATTGGCTCAAAGAGGGAATAACATACACACTCAATTGGGTATCAAAATCTATCTTACCCTACAGGAAAGTAGGGAGGAAGGGGATAAGAGAAGGGGAGATTTGCAGAAGGGAGGGCAGATTGAGGGAGGGGATAGTCAGAAGCAAACACTTTTGAAGAGGGATAGGGTGAAAGGAGAGAGAGACTAGAATAAATGGGGGCGGGGCAGTCGGGATAGGATGGAGGGAAATACAGTTAGTTTTTCACAACATGACTATTATGGAAGTGCTTTGCATGACTACTCATGTACAACCTATATCAAATTGCTGGCCTTCTCAATGAAGGGGTGTAGGGAGGAAAGGAGAGAATTTGGAATTCAAAGTCTTAAAAATGAATATTAAAATTGTTTTTACATGTAACTGGGTAAAAATAAAACTCTAAATTAAAAAAAAAAACTGACTCTCAACTTCCCTTCCAATCCCCTCCAATTCCCCTCCAATCAAATTCCCTTCCAATTGTTTGTGCCTTTTAACTCTTAGCACAAATATGTTAATTTGAAGGGCATTGCCATGTTTTAGTTTTCTAATTGTGTTTTTATGAATACACGTTTCCAAATCCCTTGAATTGAATGCCACTCTAAGCTAGGAGTCTGTTGCCAGCAAAACTCACTAGTCAGAAGTAAGATATGAGGACAACATAGGGAATGGGCTTTTCATTTCATTGGCATAGGGGATTGCCAGGTGAGGAAGATCAGCACTTTCTCTGTGACTAAAAGTCTTAAGGAGTTGCTTGGAAGATAAGTGACTTGTCCAAGGTCACACAGCTAGTATACATCAAGAGTTGGGACTTGAACAGGACAGGTCATCCTGACCCATGGCCAGTTCTCTATTATACCATGCTACAAATCCTACAGTCAACACATCACATCAGGAAGGTACTTTAGGATGAAGTTGCCTTAAGGTATAAAGAAATCGAGGCTCAAGGAGTCAGAAGCAGTCTTAATTCTTCACATTTTTGTTAAATTTTTACTTGCCTGAAATGAAATTTTTTTGTAGAGCCTAGGCTTACATCAGTTGATATAGCCTAAGAAAATATAGCCTTTCCTTCCAGGAAGGGTATCCCCTTAGAGGGTACAATTTGTTGACTTCTTTCTGGAGAGAAGCTGCCTCTATAAGCAAGGTCAGGCTCCTACGCAGCTTTCACTTACACAGGAACGTAGGCAATGCTGTTTTAACACGTAATTGGGGGGAACATAAAAAATTATTAAAAAAAAAAAAAGAATACAGGCAACCTAAGTAACTTCACAGACCTGTAGGTGCACACTTGCAGGTAAGAAGATAACGACAACCAGTGCTATTTGATGGTACTTCCTTGGATGTCGATATCTCAATATTGGCCAAAGAGAGACTGGATTCATAATTTCTTTCATTCCTTGACATTAGAATTTTGGTTTTCTGGTCCACTCTCTCAGTGATTTCCAGACAAAGGTGTCCATGGGGTGGGGAGAAGAGATGGTTGGCCTTGTGATTTGTTTAATTTTAAAAGAGTTGAAGGCTGAGTAATGATAGACATATATAGGGTTAAGAAAATTAATTCTGCTACTTTTAATCTTTCTTTACTTTTTGACTTGGGAGAGATTAGTGGGCCTTACCCAAGTGATTTGGCTCTGAACATTGTGCTATTAAGACCTAAGATAGAGTTGGGGGAAAAAAGAGGAGGGGGGAATTTTTTTAACATGAAATTACAGAGGAATAAAAAACCATGGAGTCTAAAATTTATTCACATTTTCTGTTCATCTACTGAACATTTCAGTAATAGCTATTAATGAAGATGGCCTTCAATGATACTTCACTGCCAAAAATTGTTACCCAAGGTGGAAATTTTATAGGACACAAGTGTTCCAAAACTGATTCTCTCCCTAAGATGCTTTAGCAAAGAAGAGTCAAGATCTTCTGCTCCTCTTGGTCTATTTTAGGGGCTTTCCCTCCTTCTTTTAGGGCATTTTCCTATTTAGCAATACAACCCATAAATCATATTCCCACTCCCAAGCACACAGGTCTTTCCAGTTCCAGCTTTTCCTCTTTCTTGAGCTGGAACTGGGCCCGGGCATAACCAGGAAAGGGCTATGTCTATGATAACATCATTGTCTCCTTCTTGGTCACTTTCACTTCCAACTTGTGCTGAAGGGGTTGGAACTTCCTTAACTCTCTTCCTTATCCTGGTCAATTTTAAGAGGTTTTGTTCCTGTCTTTCTTCTTCTCCTATGTCACTTCCTCCCTCCATTCCTCCCCAAGTTTTTATTAACTGTACTGAAATCATAGCCGGTACTAGATATATTTTAGCCTCATATATCTTACAGAGAAATAATAAAGATATCTAACAAAGCTTTGACCTCAAAAACAGAATTCCTAAAGACTAGTACTATCCCTTTGTGTATAACGGCTATTCTCAAAGTTATTTAGGGGGCAGAGCGTTTCCAGAATTGATTTGATTCAACAACTTTCATTAAAATCTGATGCTCGAGATCTCAATTTGAGTTTTTAAAAGACAGGGTGGAGTCTTGTGTCTCCAAATGAACGAAGGAGAAAGAGTAGCAGAACAGATTCGAGGGAAGAACAGGCATAAAAGGGTATGAGATGAAACAATCACGGTCAAGAAGAAAACCACACGCCACAGCTAAGACAAAATATGGCATTTATTCAGCGACTTGACTAGTCCACATTGCGCAAAATACTTTGTTTCATCTGCATTACCCGAAAACACATTTTAATAATATTCTTAAATACTTTACAATGTCAAAAGTACAGGATTGTTCCTTAAAGCATTTGATATAACATACACAGTATGCTCTCTCAAAACTCAAATGCTTAAAGCATTTCAGCATTACAAAGGTTTCAGTATTTCCCAGAAGTTCACTCATTCATCCCATTGGATGTACAGAATTATGTGGTTTACACAGTTTTGCCAACATCCAAAACATTGTGTTTTAAATGTATTAAGCATAGCATGTACAATAAGAATTGTTTCCATAGGAACATAACAGGACTTGTCATCAGTGACAGGTAGCTACGGATACATTCAATCAGCCATTCCAATACACTGGCCGAGCTTATTGGTGGTTAAAGCAGTACTCTGGGCTCTTATCACCCCTCAAAAAAGTCAATTCAATTTTTGCCAGAATCTAACATCAATGGCTCAAGGAAATACTGTTTAAAAACAATAAACATTCTCCAATAAATGAAGATTTCTTATCCAACTTAGAAACAAAAGTAGTAATTTCTACATGAATATATTCTTATAATTGTCCAAAACTGAAAATATCAAAGTGCACAGAAGGTAGAACCGATCACCAGAAAGTCATTCTAATCTTCTCAACTTTCTTACTTGGGATTTATCATCAGGGGTATGAGAACATCTCTTCTTGATATGTACCAGTCTAGTTTCAAAGATTAACTGCATATGAGCAATGTAGAGCCCATACTCTCCAGCTAGAAGACCTGTGGTACTACCAACTACGTAGAGTCATTCCTAAATCTCCTAGGAGGAGATAAAGACTGAACCCTGACTTGGAGCAGATGATGGTGGCTGTCAGCCATATTCTAACGTGGGAGGCCCCCGGACAATGTTGAAATAACCAGCCAGGGCTCCGAGGTCAATATAGAGAGATCGTTGTCTCTTCATTGCTTCAGATTCTTCTGTGCTCCCCGTGCATGAAGAGGAATCTGTGAACGCAACAATTGGGGGATTGTAAATTCGCCATCCAGGACAGATCAGATACACATTTAGCCAACAAACACAATCACTTGGGGCCTGCTGAGAAGTCTTTTAAAAATCTCATTTTATTCCAAAAGCTTGAGTATTTTTCCTCAACTGTCCATCTCAGATGAAACAGACCAAATAGCAGTTCAGAAAGCAAATGACTATGAGATGGTATAGAGGAACCCAACATGCAGATACTTCTTAAAAGAGTAGCACTGAAAAAGGCCAGAGAAAGTCCATGGGACTTTTAGGAGAGACACATGGGGACAGAGCATGAATCTCAATAGCTTTTTAATAAAAAGAAAATGGCAAACACACTATTCCTAGAATAGTTTCTAAATTGGGAAGGTTTCTGTCAGAGGAAAAGATTTTTAGGAAAAAATCAGAAATGCCATTTAAATTCAAACTCAGCTTTGTAATCATGGGCCACTTGGGATATTATTCAGTGGGCTAGGGGCCTAAGGAAGTTTGCTGTGAACGCCTAGAATGATACTTTATCAAGACCCAAACTATTATGGCTCATTTACTTAAAGTGAACAAGTGAAGTCAGAAACCACTCAGGATAGGATTGGAATATCCAGATGTATGGACCAACCCACAGTGACTGATTTGAGGCCCATCTACCAGAGATGCACATTATGATTTTCTAGCAAATTGATTCTCAATGAAAAAAAAAAAAAACTCATGTTCCGCTTTCATTCCACAAACTTCAAAGAAAGAAATCTGGAAGGACCCTCAGATGAAAAGCAAGCTTGCAGGCAACGCCCTCTTGTAATGTTCTCCATACCTGTAATGTTCTCTGGCAGCTCCAAATCCTTTCTCGTTACTCTTTTCCTCTCAAAAAGGGCCGAGTCCAGACTCTGACAACGTGGCTGGTCTTCTCGGGGAGGGTTCAGGGCCTCGTGCTTCAGCAGGTCTGCCGCAGTTGGACGATGGTTTGGGTTCCTTTCCAGTGCTGCCTCTATCAGCTCTCTCATGCCTGGGCTAGAGTCCTGAGCAATGTCTTCCAAAGGGGGTGCTTGCTTATGAATCTAACAACAAACCCATTTTTTTTTTAGTGTACAAAGAGTATTTTGGTGGGTGAAGGAGGAGGGAGGGGGATAGTCTCACGGGTGAAAATGCTCTAGGGACTAGTTACTGGAAATTACATTCTGTCGCCAATTTCCCCGTTCACTGCCAACAAAAGCAACAACTATCACTCTCCAAGAGCATGGATTTAAATTCAAACACTGGATCCAAAATCTAAAACCACTGAATTTACAAATGGGGCACCTTGTTTCTATGCTGTCTCCACAACAGAGCCATGGCCTCAACTTATCTCTGCTGCTCTAGCAAAGTCTCGGCACTATGTTCTTCTCCTCTGAGAAAGGAAGGTGGTAATGTCTCTCCTGGATTCCAGGCCGTCAAAAGGCTCTAACCTCTATTGCACTTATTAGCATAGGGCTGCTTAGTAATCTTTTCTGTGTCATAGACCTCTTTTGCAATGTGGTGAAGCCTATAGAGCCCTTCTCAGAAAAAATGCTGGTTTCTACATTTATAATTAAAGGAAATGCTGAATTTCAGTTATAGATTGGTAAAAATAAGGTTGTCTTTTTTTCCCCATCCAAGTTCATGGACCTCCTGAAATCTTAGGTCCCCTTGATCTCAAGTTAAGAACCCCCAACTTGAAGAGTTCAAAGTACACATAGAACATCTCTGGCTTGGAGGCTGGGGTCATTTCAAGGTTGCTACCAAGTACTTTTAATTTTGTGAGATAAAAAGAAATGATCTTTCACGGATGGCTGATTCAGGCCCAAGAGGCCCTTCCCTTTTATATTATTTATTACTATTATTATTAATTTTCTCCAACATAGGACACACTTGTAGCTCTCTTAACATCATTTCAACTCTCTGTGAGAGCCTGGAAGCTTGTCTGAGCAGGAGTTTCCCAGCCCAGACCAAACCATCCCTCCCATGGCTGGTTTAATGGCTCATACTTACTATGTAAAGGTAGGATGGGTAGGCAGAGCGAGGGTAGCGTTTCACCCAGGGAGGGGTACCCGTCTGCATGTGGATGAGGGTGGCCCCCAAGCTGTAGATATCGGCTTTTGTTGAATGACCTCTGCAGAGAATCACTTCTGGGCTCATGTAAATCTGGAGGAAAAAAAAAAAAAAAAAGGAGGGGGGAAGGTGAGAATCAGCCTGATGTTCCCGCATTTGGTTGTTTTAGTATTTATTTCCCTGCTCCAGTTCTGGGAATTCCCCCGCCTTATCATTTCTATCAAACCCTCTACCCTCTGCAAAAGAGACAATGCTTGCTTCTTCTAGGTAAGGAAAATGAGACACACTTTATTTGGGAGCCAGGCAACCTTGGCTGGAGGGAGTAAACTTAGCCTGACAAAGAATACCTTTCAATCACATGCTGAAGGTGCTGCAGATTGGGTCATGAAGAGGGCTGACGCCAAGCAAAGGACGCAGAATTTCCATCTTACTGGAAGAAACGACCTACTGCACTTGATGGTTTTCTTAGTGAGTTGGGGGGCTTTTTGTTTTTTATTTAATTTTTTTTAAGACTTGGTCTGTCCTAGCCTGCTACTTTTCCCACTTGGGTTGGTTCAACTCTCCTTAAGTATCCTACCTATCACCTCCATCATGCCTGGGGGCTCGCCATAGCAATATCGAACTTTTATTATTAATTACACAATTAATATTAATACAGAGCCAGTAGACTCAGCCCACTGCAGCTCAGAACTCCTGAACTTAAGAGATCTGCCAGTCTCAGCCTATGGGATAAAGCATTGATTACAGGTGAGCTGCACCACCACACCTTACTTGCTGGAAGGGCTTTTTAAAATTAAAATATGAATCTCATTTCTTATTTAAAGTGGATAACCCACAGATCCTTCTTAGTCCAAAGCTTAACATTAATAGTTTTTTGATTACTCACACAGGGATATGAATGCTCTTAAAGTTAGATAATCATTAAATCATTTCTACTTGGCTTGAAAATGGGTTTTTTATTTACATTTTAATATAAATGTATCTAATGTTCTGGGAATTGAGTTTTATCAAAGACCTAGTTCAAGAAGAATGACTTTTCCGCATCCTGACTCCTACTCAACTGTTTCCTGAAGCCCAAACACTACACTGAGGTGAAGACAGTTTTCTTTGAGAACCCAAATTAGACAGTCTACAGTGATTCCAAATAATCTGGGTCAAGCACTGGAGAATTAATGGATTTCAAAGGGTTTCCACATCCTCTAAGAAATGAATTTGAATGTATATGATGATTTTCAATAACAAAGCCAAACTGTCTGGGGCTAGGGATCTTAGTAAGATCCTATAGATTTCAGAAGGTCCATCAACTGGAATGGAAAAAACAATGCATATCCTTATTTTCACTAATCTTCTGTTTCTTTTGTAAATCCTACGTATTTCACTTTATGCATTTAAGAACATTATTCTGAGAAGAGCTCCATAGGCTTCCCAAGATTGCCGAAGAGTTCCATGACACACAAAAAGTTAAGAATCTGTGGTCTTACAGTTGGTCCTTATCACACTTTAATGACAGCTTAGTGACTGCATTGTTGGTATAAGAGAGTCACTGTACTTTGGGCTACAGTTTGGGCTGGAAGCTGGGAGGCTTGAGCTTTAGCAACAACTCTGTCTCTAACTGCAGGACCTTGGAGGAGAGAGAACCTCTCTGGGCCTAGGTTTGCCCATCAGTAAAATGATAGGGTTGAATCAAAGAGAAACTACTGGAAGGTCCCTTCCGGGGCGAAAAAAGTCAGATTCTTTAAAGTAAATTCTTTCATTTTCTGTGTTTTTGGAACTGAGAAGTTGTGTCTATAAAAGGAAAAGGACAAATAGATGCTAGCTCTAAACCACAGTGAGTCTGCATTCCTTGGGTATTCTTCTGGGACCTCCACATAGTGGTCCACAGAAGGTGACTTTTGTTGCTTTGTTTCATTTTTTAATGATCCGATGGCCAGAATTCAGCCTTGACTGAATTCTAATCTAGGCCTTGTTGCGCAATTACACACAGCAAACACAGTAGCAACCTACTACCCAGTTGGGTGCTAGGCTAGATGCAGGGGGATAAAAACATTCAGTAGCCATCCTTGTCCTCAATGAGCTTGCTGACTAGTAGAGGAAAGAACAACTGTTGGCATTCATTGACTAATTTAACGTTTGCAAAGGACATCATATACACATTATTTCATCCTCACGATTCCTTTTTGTAGATGAGAAAATGGAGGTAGTGCAGAGAGGTTCAGCGACCACCATGGTCACACCAGTCAATGTCTGCAGTAGGTTGCTCACCCACCCAGTGATTTTATGAATAAAGGTACTCAGTGATCATTCTACTACACCACTCCGTGCTGTCTCTCCCCAACATAGTTATAAACACCAGCAGCTCTTTGTTTCCTCTAAGATAAAGATAAAGTACAAACTTCTGTTTGGCTTTGGGAAGAGTTTTAGATGCTTCCAAACTTGGCCCCAATCTATCTGTTCAGCCGCACTTTACATCATTTCCCTGCCTGTGCTCTGATTCAGCATAACTGGTCTTTCTGTTTCTCATAAACAGTACTCCATTTATTTGTATTTATTCTCTTTAAAACTTATTCTGTAAATTATTATATATGTGTTATTCTCTCCCCCATTAGGATGTAAGCCTTCTTGACAGTATGGATTGGTTCATTCTTTGTCACTGGCATCCCTAGCAAAATACACAGTGCCTGGCACATGACAGGGGCATAACAAATGCTCAGTGATTAATTAATTGATCCACCACGTAGGTTAAAACCAAACAAGATATTTTAACCAAAAAAATATATAATCTTCTAGAAGAAGAAAAAGGTGGGGTGGCTTCAAATTAATCATCCTAATGCCGATTAATTTCTCTCACACATTTTAGCTTCTGATTTTTCCCAGTTTTTTCATTAAAATCAAATGTTGAAGGGGCAGCTAGGTGGCACAGTGGATAGAGCACCGGCCCTGAAGTCTGGAGGACCTGAGTTCAAATATAACCTCAGACCAAACACTTGACATTTACTAGCTGTGTGACCCTGGGCAAGTCACTTAACCCCAGTTGCCTAAAACAAAAACAAAAACAAACAAAAAAATAAAATGGAATGTTGACCAGGATAGCTAGGTGGTGCAGTGGATAGAGCACCAACCCTCAAGCCAGGAGGACCTGAGTTCAAATCTGCCCTCAGATACTTGACCCTTACTAGCTGTGTGACCCTGGACAAGTCACTTAACCTAATTACCTCACCAAAAGAAAAAAAAGAAAGAAAGAAAATGGAATGTTACTGTCCAGATATATTATTTCTTCAACTTCAAACTTTCCATCCAGAGTCAAAATTTGACAACTGTAGTTTTGATACTCCCAAGATATAGACTAGTTCTGGCATTTGGAGCTGAAAAATCTTCATGAAGTTCTCTTGCAAACCATTCTAGCCGATCCATAAGAAGCAATTTATTGTTGCAGAAAAAAAAAAGATAACATAAATGTTATCTAGTAGCAGAACACTACATTGCTAGACTTGTAACTCAAACAGGCACTGCCTTTTTTCAAAGAACATTCCCAGAAAAGGTCTGTTTTTTTTTTTCTCCAGCATTGCAAAATACTTAATTTAATCACACTATTAGGAAGAAGTAGTAGGAGGGAGGGGAGTGAGATGTGGGTAATTGAAATGTAGAAGTTTTTCCTATGCTTAATACCATAACTAGTTTGGTTTTTTAATTCTTTTTTCTTTACAAGTCCAGGGAGAGAAAAAGTTTATGAGGCTTAATATTTTTAAACTAATAAGATATCCTGAAGCGTTTTCCAAAGATTTGTCCAGGGTCAGACAGTGAGCATCAGTCAAAAGCAGGAGTTGAACACAGGTCTTCATGACTTTAAAGATAACTTTCCCATTCATTTTTTTTTTTCATATTAGGTTGTAAAGAAGAAAAAAAAAAACTTATACCAGGTCAAAAACCTACAAGCTTCCTTCTCTTCTGGCTCACAGACATCCATGCACAAGGTCAAAGATTATATAGTTTAAAAATAGTCCCTTTAGGGTCCAGCCTGATGGTGCATACCTGTAATCTATACTATTAGGGGAGGCTATTGCTAGGGGGATTGCTTGAGTTCAAGAGTTCTGAGCTGCAGTGGCCTAAAGCCCATGAGATATGCTCCCTAAATCTGCCACCCATATGACAAGCTGCCAAGGAGCCATCAGGCTGATGAAATAAGGACAGACCATCCCACCTCAGAACGAAGAGTCAAAGCTTCCAGGCCAATGAGTAATGGGTTGAGTGGCCACTACACTTCCAGCCCAGGGGAGAGAGACTCAGTTGCCAAAAAAATAAAAATCCCTCCTTACAAAATGGAGGAAGGAGAGAGAGGGAAGAACATCTCACTTGTAGATACTCAAAATGGTTATGGCCCATTAAGGAATTTATTAATGACAAATCTAAGCATTATAACATATGAAAAACCCTGAGGACATGTCTCCATTGTAGGAAATTCTGTTCCTTTTTGCTTCGTGGAAACCTTAAATATTATTGCTATTGTGTTTTTGGCTCAGATTTGCTCATTATTCACTATTTAAATTAAATTCAACCGTAATCCCACATGTACTTTAAGGAAAACTAGTGATATTATCAACTTATAGAACATTATTTCACAGGCTTTTCCTTCCCTTTACCCTCTCTCACAGGGATTCTAGAATCTTTACCAAAAAGAATTTCAGAAAGACAAAGTCATTTCCTTGGATATGTAATTACCTCTGTTCCCCGAAGATCCTTAGGAAAATAGATCTCTTCTGTCATCTTAACACTCAGCCCAAAATCTACCAACACAGCCTTCGTGGACATGAAAACGATGTTGCTGGCTGCAGCAGAAAGAAAACACTTTTTTAGCCTAAAAATGTACACGTATGTTATGATACAACAGTGTCCAAAGGGCATCTAGTGTAGTTTTCAGAAAAATGCAGGTGGGGAAAAAAAAAAGATTCAGAATCTAGGCATAGGAGGAGGCCATTTTGTACATAAATGACCAACATAGGCCAACAAAGTGGTCAGGGACTCAAGCTTCAAATTCTCAGAGCCAAAAATGTAGATGTGAATGGTGTCACATTGTGACCATATCATTCTTCTGAAAGAAGAAACAACAATCCCAATTCTGACCCTATAAAAGCTGAGCCTGCAATGAAGCCTAACGCTTACACCAAGTTTTACACTGGTTCTCTTTCAGATTTGCTGATTCATGTTGCTAGAAAATTTCAAGGATTCATGATGTTATCCACAAGGCTCTTCCTTTTATGAAAACAGATGATGAGGCTGCAATGCCTTAACAGATTATATTCATGGGGTTTGAATTGTTATAGTCAGAAAAATATCTGTGCTTAGTGGCAAGCTCTCCAGTGATAGTTAGATTGGGCCGTGGACAAGATCACCTGTTTTGGGGTCCATACTCCTAAATCTTGCCAGAGCTTGCACTCCATTGGCATAGTATTCAGGAATCCAGGGTCATCTCCATACCACAATGGGGTACCAGAGTAGGACATCATGAGTTCTATCTAGTTCTAGATATTACTAGGAGAGTTTCCAAACATTTAATCTATTTGTTTTACATGGTCCCAAAAAAGAGAGATGAGAAGCAACCTCTCTTGACTCCTCTGCAGAGATGAGGGATCCACAGGGGTGAATAATACATAGATTTTCAGATTTTTTTCCTGATGTATCAATCAGTTTTGCTCATTTTTCCCCTCCTCCTCCTCCTATTTTTCTTTTTAAAAATCTTTTGTCATATGTGATGGCTCTTTAGGGATGGGAGAGCAGGAGGAATACAGGGGAAAGGGCAGTATAAAAATAAAAGATACCAATTTTTTTTTAATAAAATTTGTTTGGGGGGGTGGGGAAGCATGTCTTTTAAGGATATTTAATGACTTAAAGAGTAGTTGAATAGTAGCACTTATTAGACTGAGATAGGGTGATCTTCTTTATGTCTATCTTGTCAAATTTCTAAGTCAGTGCCGTGGCATTTTTTCAATATGGAAGAGCTCCATGGAGGAAAGGGGGAAAAAAAAATCGATGGAAACATATCTATTACTGCCACCAGCTCTCAGAGAAAATGCTACCCTTGCCTTTAAGGGACTTAAAAATTTAGAGGTGAAAAACCATCTGTCTCCTGTCAGAGTATTATGGGTCCAACCCACCAAATATTTCAACAAATGGTAATATATTAAGCAAGACAACAGGAGGCAGAGCCAGACGAGGAATCAGGAAGAGGAGGGTCAAGTCTGGCCTCTTGACACATATTAGCTATGAGACCCTAAGCAAGTCATTTAATCTCTCGGTGCCCCCAAGTAATGCTCCAAAATTATAATTTGCAGAATTACTTCCAATTTGCAAGGGTAAAATGGATTTTGTTGGAAAAATGAAATCACAGATCCAGTTCTGCCTCTCCCTCCCAAGCCCGTCCCCTGCACCCCCTTCCAAGACTACAAAACACAACTTACGTTTAATATCATGGTGTATTACTTTCTTTGAGTGAAGAAAATCAAGCCCCTTCAGGACATGCTTCGTGACCCAAATAATTTCAAATTCTCTCATAGGTCCACAGCTCTCCAACTTCTCCATAACAGATCCCCCCTCGCCCGCTTCCATAAAGAGGTGGATAGTTTCACCCCACAAAACAGCACCATATAATTCTGCAATATTTTCATGATGGAAGCAGGCCTGAATTTCAACATCGGATGGTTTGAACTGATCTACTGGGATCTAAATGACAAAAAACAGGAGGCAGATTAAGGACAGTATAATGCTAATTCCTTCACTTCTTGCGATGGGGATCCAGCAGAGAATCAATCGAGATAAACTAGGTAGCCAAAAGGATATATTTAGATGGCCAATGCAACAGGACAAATAATTATTATTATAATTGTAACAATAATGACTAAGCCATAGGCTAGCCTCCACAGAGCCAGACTGGAAAATCCACATAATGCTACGCAGCTAAGTCAGACTTCCCACGAGTGATGGGTCATTACTGTTTATCTTTCCCACCCCCTGAAAAAGTGAAAGAGTGGTCATCCTCACAGTTCAGACACGCTGACTGCCCTCTAGAATGGTCTGAACCGTGTGGAATCACATAAGGTCTGAGGGAAAGTGTTTGCTTAACGTAACATTGACCTACCCTGTAGGTCAGGATTACATATATATATAAAAATATACATAGATATGTACATATGTATGTATGCGTATATGTGTGTGTGTAAAATCCTGTCTTTGAATACATATATATACACATATACATATATGTATGTATATGTGTGTGATATATATATTATATATTTATGTATATATACACATATCTGAACTGTGCGATTTTCTTACCTAGACTGTAATCTTTCATTATTAAATATATGGGTACTCCAATAAAGGAAGACTTTTTCTTCTATGCCACAAAAGTATATTTTGATTAGTGGGGCCAGAACAAGAAATATTACTGTTAGATTTTAGATAGAACCCTAGATTTACTGTCCTTTTCTATTTTTAGTATAACAAAGGGACCCAAATCAGTTGCTTCCTATAAATGTTGGGCTCTCAAATGCTAGCAGAATTAGACAATCCTTCACTGACTTTTCAGAATGATGTGAAGATGTGTCTCATACAATGGGGCAGCCGATAAGCTCCAATCACTGGTGTTTTATGGAGCAACCAACGAGGCCAACCATATCAATTTCATATCTTAGCATAAGTTGGGGACTCAAGATACATTTACAAATTATGTCTATATTTATAAAAGTATTTATATATATAATACACAAATATAAAATTTAATCTGTAATATAGTTTAAAAGCATTACATAAATAAAAAGCATAGATAAAAATATGACAACAGTCCCACTATTAAGCATTCTCGTATACATGCATCCTTTTAAAGTTATCTGCTTCTTAGATGGGTCTAAGTTTTGAGAAGTCCTACAAACTGAGGAAAACAAACAACCCGGCGAGTTTACTCTCCCAGCCTCTGATTATTTCCCTGCCCAGTTCTCATCCTCAAAAAGAGGAAGAAGGGGTCTGTGGGCTCAGAGTCATGGAGTCAACCACAACTTGCAATTGTCCTACGCCTCCCCCCAAATGTGGGAGTAATAACAGCATTGAAGCTGTGGGTAAACAAGTGAAATCCCAGCTCTGGGTAAGCTGCAAGCCCTTTCTTTTTGTCACAGAAGCACACAGACTCAGAGTCTGCAAGAATTTAGGTAGCGAGTCAATCAGTGAATACAGATGTTTTTAAATGGGTCATCTCATAGACGGGATCCAGCCAAAGGAACTATAATCCAGTGAAAATATTTGAAACATGCAAAAGGGGGAAAATGTGAATGGGAAGGAGTATTTTTTGCTATAAATACATACCAGTTTACATGCCATTCTTTTTTTTGTCCTCCTGTCTTGTGCTAAGTATACTTTTCCAAAAGCTCCCCGGGGAATGAAATCAGAGCCAATATTCCTGTAAGTCAGTTTCCATGGAAAAAGGAAAACATCAGCATCGATCTGGTACCTTCCATTTTGGGGGGTGATGACCTGTTAAATGATTTTTAAAAAGGCAGAGCCTCAATTAAAAAGATCCTTTTGGATACATGTTACAAAGTACTGTATGTCTGAAGAGATGCCACCGACCATATGTGATCACCATGACACACTGTATACAGAAAGCTATATTTAGAACCATTGACAAGGCAAAGGAAGCATGTGAAAACTCATTCCTGGTGAAACCTGCTCAAATTTCCATCTAGCATGAGTAAGCTCTTTAAATTGCAACCTATAAAATTATTTTCACCATGGAACACCACTGCCATACCACGCTGATTGACTTAAAACAATGACTGCATAAACAGATCTGCAGGTTGATTTGTTTCTAAGTAGAATATGATAACCTGTTAGTCTACATAGCTATTACTAACACATGATGCACACCTCAGACATTAACCAATGGTCACAGAGCATTCTAAAAACAGTAGGTCAAGGTGAGACTGAACCATTTTAAGAAAGGCACTACCTAAAGAATGGTTATATAGAACAATAATGTAAAAATATTCCCAAAGGGCGGTTTCTGCATAGGCTGTCTCCACCGTTTGGGACACAAAAGACAGCCATTTCTACACTAACACTGGGAACCAAATTTGAAAGTTAAAATCAAACCATAATAGGCTGCACATGAAGCCTTTAGTAAATGGGCTAAATATATGCCCACTCTTCCCAAAAAATCAACCCTGCCATAATTTTTCCCAAATGTAATGAATTTGAATCAAAATATTATTAAATAGGAGGTTATCTTGCAACATGACATTTGGATTATTTAGCTTCAGTAAAAGAAAGATTGTAGATGGGGGAAGGGGAAAAGGGTGTGTGACTAATAGTACTAAAAAGTTAATGAATAAGGGAGAGAGAATGAGAATTTAAATTATATTTCATTGTGTCTAACATTCTCATGATCATGACTTTGGCCTTCTGTATGGGTATACTATTAAAAACAGTAGAGACCAAATAATTTACTTTAGCCAAAATTCTCCAAATGATGCACCTACTGGGGCAGAGAATAAGTCTAACACTATAGAAATCAAAATCTATTGAGCACCTAACGCGTGCAAAACTTTGGATCAGGCCACTATTGGGGTTAAAAAGCATAAAACATAATGTTGGCCTCTTGGCAAAACCAGATCCTTCCACATTATCTTGGGGGCTGGCAGGAGTTTTAAGAAACCATTTAATACTATACTAGGAATACAGTAAGTGATTAATTTACTTCATCATATGACTTCAGACAGAATAATTCTTGCCACCTCTGTTGGAGTATAGTTTTCCTGTTCTTAAAAAATTAATAATAACAATAGAAATTCCATAAGCTCCTTCAGTAAATGAATTCGATTTTTAACAATCTTCTCTATCAGAAAAACACTACTTCTATCTATCCCTAATTCCTCATGCTGTAGTTTAAGTCCATCTCCTCCCAGAGAGACAGAGAACAAGTAGCTACCACCCTCTAAGTAAGAGCCCTTTACTTATTTGAATGGCATCATTAAAGTAACAACATCAAAATAAATTTACTAGCAGCCTACCTTTATAAGGCACCAAGCACACATCTACCTTCTCCTCTCCTGAATGAATGATCCAGGATGTGTGAAAAACACATCCACTTTAAATTAATACATATTTTTAAGCATTTTCCTATTTATGCAGATTGCTGATATACATAGTAAGTTCTAGACTCAGGACAAATCTTTGAAGATGATTTTAAATATCATCTCTTCAAAAAACTTGGAGAAAACTGAGCAAAAACCTTGGTTGAGGGACAGCTAAGTGGTGCAGTGGGCAGAGCTCCAGCATTAAAGTCAGGAGGACCCGAGTTCTATTCTGGCCTCAGACACTTGACACTTATTAGCTGTGTGACCCTGGGCAAGTCACTTAACCCCAATTGCCTCACCAAAACAAACAAACAAACAAATGTAAAAAAGCCTTGATTGGTTATCTATATGCTACATACTCGTCTGGGCCAGGGGTCACTCTGTGTCATGACATAATTATAACATCTGCCATTTATACAGCACCTTAAAGTGTACAGAATGATTTCTCTTTATTCTCTCACTTGAGTTTCATGAGAGCCCCATGAGATAGGTACCAAAAATATTATTAAGCCCTTTTTACAGAAGAGAAAACTGAGGTTTGGGGAGGATAAGTAATTTGCCTAGAGTCAGAGGGCTAGTAACCAGTTAGCCAGATGATGCAGTGGATAAAGCACTGGGCTTGGAACCAGAAAGATTCATCTTCATGAGTTTAAATCTGGTCTCATATACTTACTAGCTGTGAGACCCTGGACAGTATCATTGCCTCAACTTCCTCATCTGTAAAATGAGCTAGAAAAGGAAATGGCAAACCACTCCAGTATCATTGCCAAGAAAACCCCAAATGGGGTCACTGTAGAGTCAGACATGACTGAAATGACTCAACAACAACAACCCAGGGCTAGTAAGTGTCAGAGGCAAGATCTGAACTAAGGCCATGGGCATTCACAATGTCACGCTACCTCCCTAATATAAATAAATATGATATGGATCTTTGTTTCTCTTCAAAAAAAGCTTACTAATCAGAAAATACATGTCTTGGACCAACGGGTCCAAGGGCAGCAGTATCTAATTTGGGCTACAAAACCACAAGCATCCAGTCTGTTTCAGATGATGTCACCACAGTTTGCTATGCTGGAATATATGAAGAGTAGGAATCAGAAACCTTATTAACAGAAACATACGTTCCAGAAATTATACTTACCCTCCATCTACAGAGTTGTGAAGGTTAAAGGAGACATTCTGAAACAATCTGTGAACCTCAATGCCCTAAACAAGTGCCAGCTATCATTTTTATTGTTATATCATCACCCACCATTACTATTGCTACTGCTACTACTACTACTATTACTACCACCATCACCACTACTACTACCACCATCACTACTACCACCACCACCATCACATCCGGCACTAGCACGAAATCATGCTAGATTAATCTATTAGAATCAGTTTATCACAAAGTCCTGTTGAGTATCCAGGCCATTCTGCTCCTAATAACTCTTTTAGTGAAGACAACAATGACATGTTTAGAACAATACTACCTACTCTTCTGCTGCCATAACCTTCTATTTGTAATTATGATCTTTACAGGCCTGGAGAACAAATTTTTAAAAGTCTGTACTTCTATACCTTCCAGGGTCCGGATCCATAGCCTTCTCTAAAAGCACTGCCAAGACCATTGGAGCTACTTGGGATTTTTTCGCCCACTTCCAAAACCTTCTGCAGATTCTTCACAATGAGAGCTGATGCTGCAGTGACTTCTGTCACTTTTTTTGGAGGACTCAATTTTGCAATGTGAACCAGCCGTTAACTTACTGGACACCTCTTCTATATCAGACATTGCACGAGGGTCTTAGGACAGGGGAAGAAGAATTCAAAGATGAACAAGACAGTGCTGTCCTCTCTCCTCAGGAAGCTTACAGAGTCCAGTGGGGAGAAGAGATAAGCACACAAATAACTAAGATGAGGTAGAATGTCATCCATATTATAACAGGGGTATAAGCCAGTTAGGGCTTATATGGTCAAGTAGGGTATGGTGGCACTTGGAAAGGGCAGATCAGATTTGGTTTTGAAGGAGAAACTAGTGAATCCCAGAAGATTTTGTGAAGGAGGTGGCATTTACTTTGGTCCTATAAAAATGGAAAAGGCTTTGATGGGCAGAGATACCGTTCTCCCTGTTCCAGGTAGAAGGAAATGAATGGCATGAACCAAGGGAAAGAGATAAGAAAAGTATAGGAAGCATTTCAAGGAACACTAAATTGTCCAACTTGGCTAAAAACATGAATTAGTAGTAGAAAAATAGTAGCAGCCAACAATGGAAATGGAGACTGAAGCCAACACAAAGAAAGCGTCTCCTTTTCTGCATCAATTTTACTAAACCATATATTAAATAAGATATATGTGTGTGCATATGTATATATATATAAAATTATAATATGTATGCCTCACTGCAGGTATATAGATCATTTTAACCTTCAAGATGACTAGCTAAATATTTAATAACAGGCTGCCACTTAATCCTCACCTCTCACCTGGTTGCACTACTTTGGGACTTCTGACTAACTTCTATCCCTTGTCCCCACTTCCTAGCTCCCTTTTCTGTAGTGTGCTCCCCCAATAGACTGTAAACTTCTATGGGCAGGAACTGTCTTTTATTCATACTTGAATCCCTAGCATTTAGCACAGTGCCTGGCACACAGTAGGTGCTAAATAAATGTTTATTGACTGATCATAGCATTATACATAATTCAAGATATTTTCCAGAAGAAATTAACATCCAAAAAAAGCAAAGGCACCCAAGAAGAAGGAACTCTACTCAGTCTATTCTACTACTACTACTCAGTCTACTATTCAGCAGAGTTCACAGTCGCCATATTATCAAGCAAAGCAAACACCAACTGTACAGATTTATCTTGAACAATATCGGATTACAGCTGAACATGGCCAGCTTCCAGTAAAGACAAATCATTCAACCACCCAGCTGACCCAAGTGAGAATACTGTTTTTATCTAAGTGAATGTAGGACAACAGACTTTCAAAATAAAAATGAAAAAAATCATCAAGTGCAGATTTTAGGCATGGGCTGTTTTTACTCCTTCCACATGGGTCTCCTCAAAGTTACCTATTTTGTGATTAAGGGATATAACATAAAGGTCTTCACTTTCAATAAGTGTTATTTATAAGTTGTTGCTTACTACTCTCAGTACTGTGTGGGCAGTTGTTTCTAAATTAGGTTAGATTCTGATGATACCTAACCCCACCTTGCAAACATGAAGGACATCAACATAACACTGGCACACCTGAGCACGTCACATGATCTTCTCTTGGGACATCAATTTGTTGCCATAATGTTTTAGATTATTTGCATTCTAGGGATGACTAGCAAACACAACATTCATCACTCACTCACGGTCTGCCAATCAAAAAGGATGAGCTTGTGATTAGATATTTGCAGTCTGTAGCTTATAAGTTGTATAGTTGCAAAGACTCACTCTAGTTACCGGTAAAATTCCAGTGACTTGATGAACCTCACTCAGTCCTCCCTTCCCCCCAAATGACTGAGATGAACAAGAAATTCGGTCTTCACAAATAAAAGTTAAGTACAGTTATTATTTCTAGTTTAGAATAAGAATATTTCTTTCAGCAGAATACTTACTATCATTTTGCCTAAACTACATGATAAGAGAGAAGGAGCTTTTCTTATGAGGCCCCTCATTCAGAATACTCAGACTGGCCACTGTTAGAAACACTAGTCTTTGAATATTTAAAGAGAGGTAATATGGTATAGGGGCTAGCTAAAAGGCATCCTGATTCAGAGTGAGGAAAGATCTGAGGAGGAATACTAGCTCCAATACTTATTAGTTATAAGACCACAGGCAAGTCGTGTGACTTCTGAGCCTCAGTTTCCTCATCTGTAAACTAGAGATAATAATACTCATACTATCCCCTTTGGAAGGTCATTGCAGGGAAAGGGTTTTATACGTAGACTCTGGGGATACACCATAGAAACATGAGCTGCAATTACTGCTTTTCAGTCTCATTCAGTAAAAATCAGAACTGAAATCTTAAAAGATTTTGTATTGAGCTTTTAACTTCAAGGTGATTCTTACCACATTTGTAGGTGCTGTGAAAGCTGGCCAAAGTTAAACTACTCTTAAGCTACACTGGTCTACTTGCTACCTTCTCTCCACTGGGTGATCTCTAGACTAGTCAACATTTAGCAACAATACAAATGGAAAAATCATGAAAAGCAAAAAACTTGACAGGTGAATTGCTTACTGTATTCAGTAGGATTCCAGATTCCTGTGGCCGGCGTCCACAATAATGCTTTGTGGCATTGGAAACGTGATTCGAAAAAGCAAGCAAGTCCTCCACGGTTCCATATCTGACAGATGATGGCAAAGAAACCTCCTGGCCACTGAGCAGAAGCGATTCTGCACGCTCTTCATTTTGATTAGAGTCCTGGCCCATCTTGACAAGGCTGTGTTCATAAACTGCAGGTTCTCCGCTTGGGTAGAGATTTTCCATCATATCTATGACTTCAGACATATTCAGGTTTTCAATTAACAAGTCAATTTCTTCTTTATCATCACTTCCCGTGCTCATATACTCCATTACTGCTGTGTTTTCTAAATCAACTGCAAAGTCAAAGGACAATGATTGGTTACAGTAAGAAGCATAAATCAGTACTGAAATGAATAAAAAGAAAAAGGCTGAGAACAGATTTCAGTATTTACATCTTTATGTGTAAGTCAAAGATTTTATCATATGATATAAATGTAACCATTAATTCTGCCCAGCAGGGAAAAAAATAATGTAAGTCTTCAACCAGAGGGGTAAATTATTATTATGTATTTTTAAGTAAGTCTTCAGCCAGAAGGGTAAATTGTTATTTATTTTAAGTATCAAAGTTTTGCTAATATAGTTTGTAAGTATCAGATTGATTGATATTTAAGCTCCATAAGTTTAAAGTTAGAGAAAAATATCATTGTGCATTATGGCATTATACAGTTATCCCCTTGAGAAATTATAGGAAAGAAAATTGAGAAGCAAGGTCAAATTCAAGAGCATCAGCTTCTATGGAGCACAGATCATTTGAAATAAAGACAACCTACAGTGTAGGCTAAGTCCTTTTATTAAGGGGATTTGTTCTGTGGTTTGGATTCAGTCAAAGGGCCATACTTTTTTCTTAATAAATTTATTTACTTTTAGTTTTCAATATTCACCTTCAAAAGATTTTGAGTTCCAAATTTTCTCTCCATTTCTCTCTCCCCCCACCCCAAGACAGCATGTAAATTGATACAGGCTCAACATACACATTCATATTAAACCTATTTTCACATTAGTCACTTTGTAAAGAAGAATTAGAATTAACGGGAGAAACCACAAGAAAGAAGAAACAAAAACAAAAAAAGAGGGAGAGCAAATAATATGCTTCGATCTGCATTCAGACTCCATAGTTCTTTTTCTGGATGTAGACAGCATTTTCTATCAAGAGTCTTTTGGGGTTGTCTTAGATACTTGCATTGCTAAGAAGAGATAAGTCTATCAAAGTCAGTCATCACATAATGTGACTGTTACTGTGTACAATGTTCTTCTGGTTCTGCTCACTTTACTCAGCATCAGTTCATATAAATCTTTCCAGGTTTTTCTGAAGTCTGCCTACTCATCATTTCTTATAGCACAATAGTATTCCATTACATTCATGTACCACAACTTGTTCAGCCATTCCCCAACTGATGGGCCAAAGGGCCACACTTGAAGAACTACAAGGCCACATGTAGTCTCGAGGCTGCAGGTTCCCCACCCCAGACACCAACATTTAGGGCAGCTAGGTGACACCATAGCGCACACAGCTCTGGGCCTGGAATCAGGAAAACTCATTAATTTCATGAGTTCAAATCTGGCTTCAGACACTTACTAGCTGTGTTCCAGAACAGGGTTTACTGTGATTTAAGCTCGGGATCCATACCACAAGTGCATAATAAATGAACCTTTCCAACTTGATCAGTTTTAGTTTATTTCTGGACACCAATTCCTTAAATTTAAGTAACACAAGTGACACAAATACATTAAATTCAGTAATCATTAAAAAAAGGTCTAGTCCAATTTGACAAACCTGGTAGAAGCTTTAAAAAAAAGAAAAAGACTACTGCATAGATGAAAGCACTAGACAGAGCAAAAACAGGGATCAGAAAGAAAATCACCTACATGCCATGGGCAAGCACTTGTATATACAATGCATGGGCACACATATCAATATAAATATATAATTTGCATAATATATTATGCAGAAAATATGGAAGTATGAAAACAATCTAATATACACTTTTCCTCCTTCTTGCAGGCTTCTGGAAATGTATTTCCTTCTCAGCTACTCACATAATGGAAAGAGGAACATCTCTCCATTGGCATAGAATATTCAAAGCCCAAATGATAAGAACCTGAAGCAAAACCCAGTAGAACCATGGAAAGCTCGGTAGAAAGGAAAAAAAGCAGAAGATACAACTTTGAAATCAAAACCTTGCAGTTAACTAAAACCAAATCAAGGAGGTCCAAAGATCAGAAGTTCTATGGCCACTTGCCCAACATAATTCTAGTTTCAAGCCAAACACCTTTCCTTGGCTCTCACCCCTGAAAAAACAACACTGTTCTCTCCACAAGAATCTCTATATGCAAAATCTGCACATCATAAAACAGCTTTCAATTAGTTAACTTGGCAAATGAAATTCACCCTCTGGAGTCAGTCTGTATGCAAATAATTTGGCTTACATTCTTTAGGAGCTCATCAGATAGAAGTTCTATTTCTGAGAGTAGTTCTGGATCTAAATGAATAGATAGGTTAAAAGAGCTAATAGGGAAAAAGATTATAGTTTCAGATTCTAGTTCTGCCAGTGCCTGCAAGTCTGGAGACATGCCACTTAAGCAGTAGGGTTTTTTTTTTAACCTCTCTTCACCAAAAACATATACTTCCACTGTATTTGGAAGCTACTATGGAAGATGATTTTGTTTATAAGGTTGCTGCAAGCAGCAGTAGTAAGAACAGGTAAAGGAATACAGCATTAGTAATTCAAAAGTGAAAAATCTGTTAGCTCTTACAATAAAGTTAACCAACACTTACAGTATCATTTTTTTTTGAGGCAATTAGGGTTAGGTGACTTGTCCAGGGTCACACAAAAAGTCCTCTTGATTCCAGGGTCTATGCTGTATCTACTGTGCCACCTAGCTGCCTCTATAATTATAGTATATACATCAGGTGCAACATCTGGGAATTTTCAAAAGAAAAGAAGATAATAGGGAAGGGAAGGAATTTAACTAGTTATTTAGTACAAGGGAACATTTCAATTCAAAAAGGAGCAGAAGGGATATTTTCTTTGGAGAGAGGTAACACAACCTGGTGGATAGAAAATTGGGTTCAAAAGATCTAGGTTCAAGTCTAACCTCAGGCATATACTGGTTTTGTGACTAAGCAAATCACAACCGCACAATGCTCTAAATCAGTGGTGTTCAACTCAAATAGGAACTGGGGCCACTAATCCACAAATACAGCACTTTGCACCATAGATTAACTTAGATAAAACACGGTATTATCTATATTTTATTGTGTTTTTATTTTGTTAAATATTTCCCAATGATTTCCGGCTGTGGTTTGGAGTATTATGGTTTGGGGACCCCTTGTGCCTCAAAATCCTTTCAAGGGGTCAGAACTATCTTTATAATAATAGACATTTTTAACATGGTAAATATCAATAAATACAACTCGCATAAATAAAAGTGGGGGGAGGAGGAGGCCTTCAATTTTTAAGAGTGTAAAAGGGGTCATGAGATCAAAACATTTGAGAACCACCATCCTATACCAATGAAATTAAAGGTCCAATTCCTATCCCTATCCTATATTTTCTCTTACTGGGATAACTAAGAGGCAATAACCAGGCAACAGGTCCTGGAAGATGGGCAATGACCTTTAGTTCAGACATGCATTCCTGAAAGGATAACACCTCCCCACCCTGCATACATATACAAATATTTAAGGATCTTGTAACCATAAACTGCCCAACAGTCTCCAGATAGTGTGAGAAAGATCATAACCTTCTCCTCCCGGCAAACTGGTACCTCAGATCAGAGTTCTGAGAATATAGTGCACAGTGTTAGGCTGTGAATGGATGAACTGAATCCTAGTAGTACCGAAGGCTAGTACCTAGCCTTAGTTACTGGATACATTTCACTTTAGATGCTTCTTTGAAAAACGATGATGTGGTCAAACAGCTACCATAAGTGGAGTTTCTAGAAATCAGATTTTTTTTTTAAAGTATGAAGTACTTTAGCTGTCACATGAAGACAACCTACATATACTACAGTATAGTACAGCTAATATGTCCTCATGGCCCTTGTGTAAAGAAGGGTGATTATGAAAAAAGACAAATCTTGCTATGGATACTGTTGACATTTGGGAAAAGTTAATTAATTCCTCTCATCCTCACATTATTTTAATTCATCTTCTAGACTGTAGGTTGAAGAGCAGAGGTCAATCTCTATTGGAGGAGGGAGTTCCTTACATGGATGAAGTTACAGAGCAGTTAAAAAAAAAAAAAAGGCTCTCCAAAATCTTAACTTCAGATTGTAGGTCTCAGAAGAAAACAATTTTAGGGTCCAACATTAAATCTTTTGATCAGGCTTACCTCTTAAGTTATTCTGGTGTAAACTCTTGAGACAATCTGCAGGAATTTAAAAAGCGTGCCTTTCACATTGGCACCGACTGAGCAAACTGCAAACTCTGTGGAATTTTCCCCTGCTTCCTCTCTGAAGTCATGTGAACCCATGGACTTTTTTTTTTAAGAAACATATTTGATTAGTAAGTCAATAAGTCCTCCCCAGCCAACAGGATGCTAAGTAGAGTTACTTTTTGTCACAACTTCTGTTTTTCAAGCCTGGATTGTATAAGAAGAAACTGCAACTAACTGCTCAATGAAACCTAAGCAGTATCCAAGCTCTGTTGGCCACATCCCTCTCACTGACATACCAGCAATACGGCCCTGAGGACAACTTACATCTTAATACTTCTACAGATGCAGGTGGTGAAGTTTTCTGAGTTGCTTTTTCAGTTGACTAGACAATCTACTGATACCTTCTGAGCTAGTCTCAAGAACACATGGTAGGGCAGGTACCATTAAAATTCTGTATTACAGATGAGCAAAGTGAGATTCAAAAAGCTAAGACAACTTGGACAGAATAAAAGCAAGCAGCTACAGAAAGAATGAATTAACTGCAAAGTTGTTCTAGAATAGCAATCAATGAGTTGTAGCATGTGTAGGCCAAATGCACTGCCTCCCCTCTACAGAGCACAAGCAACTTACTGACAAAAAACATATCCTTGCAAAACTTTACACCTGGAAGAGAGGAGTACAAAATCATTTGCCTGAAGTCACCAGGTGAAAGCCCTGGAAGAGGTAACCAATACAATATTCTAGGTTAATTTCAGTTAAACTGATATCAAAAGTGGAATCCGAAGTCCTGGCTTCCAGTTCCTACCTTGCAACTGGCCAGCTGTCACCTAAGTTAATGCTCTTATTTATAACTCCCCTCTCTAGTGCCTTAAGGATTATTTTCCTCATAGCAAACTCTTGAGGTAGTAAGTAGTATAAGTATTATTAACTATGTTTTACATTTGAGGAAACAGAGGTTCACAATGTCTCACATAGTAAGTGTGTATGTACTCTCTCAGGAACACTGTCTCCTGACTTCAGGCCCAATACTTTCACACCTTATTAGCCTTGGTGTATTCTTATCTGTAAAAAAACAAAAAAAAGCAACTAGGAAAAATAATACTAATCTATTTACCTCAAACTCCTGGAGAAGCAAAAGAGATTACCTATTTGGCTTTTAAAACTGCAGCCCCCTAAAAATATAAGGTCCTAAACATCTGCAAGAATCTTGTTGTGGGATGTAGGTTGCAAGAATTCTGATAGAGGAGGTGGCTACTCCCTTGCAATCAATGTTAAGAATCCCTCACTAGTGTGTATTAAACAGAGTTTTCCCCTGGAAAGGGGGGGGGAAGCTTTACTTAGTGGTCAATTACTCCAGGTGCAAAGATTTCTTGCTTTAATATGCAAATAAAAGGTGTACCCTTTCTCACAGGTAGCCAGCTGTCCAAATAGCATTTCTAATCTCTTAATAGAGACCTTTCAGAATAAAGCCTAAGGATGATGTATTTTAATTGGACTGAAGCACTGCATTAGTTAATCACAAAAAGCCAAAAGATCTATACTATAGAGAAAAACTGGTTTGAAGGTCATCAAATAGTAAGCACAAAGGAAAATCTTCGGGTGAGATAATCTATTTGGCCTATATAGATTACTCAAAGTAATGGTATGTAAAGCTGATGTATTTTTAGTTTCAAGGAACAGCCCCTTATTTTGGTTCAAACCACCCACTCTCCAAGATGAAAATTAGCAAGAGTTTACATCACTTCACACAGGCTAGATTGGGCTCTACCCTCTCCCTTCCTCACTCCCTTTTGAAAAATCCCATCCAACAACTTGAAGCATAGCCTTCAACACTTTCAGGTTGAACCTGTCAGTTTGAGCCCACAAGCATTGGACGCTGAGCCTCAGGGTGTCAGAATGAAAGCAGCCCTCAGTTAATACCTTCAATGAAGTTTCCCACCCCCGCTTGCTGATATAGCCTTTCTAGCCCCAAAGCCCAGTCTTGATGCTATGACGCAAAAGCCCTTTACAAAATACTCGGAGCAACTGAGTCGGACTCCCAAAAGCCCCAAACTCCTTCCTCCCTCCCCAGTGAACCTGCCGTCCCCCGCCCCCAGCCCCCAGCCTTGCCTCCCCAGTTCCTGTTAATTCATTAAAATTATCAGTCCCTAGAACACCTGCAGTTTAGGAATAATTCTTAGGATTAGGTCAACAAAATGCATGAGGGTGATCTGTTAGTATAGTTAGGTCTACTGATGTTTTTGAAGGGACGC